ATAGTTGCTGCCCGCAGGCCTTTGTCATCTGGAGTTCTGACCCTTGATGGTTTCACGGACTCAGATTGGGCCGGGTGTGCTGACACTCGCCGCTCAACAGATTGTACCATCATCAATGTAGGAGGCAGTGTAGTTATAGCACATCCACAGACACAGCCTGGAGCACCTGCTACATCATCAGGTGAAGCTGAAACTAGAGCATTGAGTCGAGGGGCGCGGGACATTATGTTCATCAAGCAGTTAGCAGAGGAAGATTTCAACATGAAGCTGAGTGTGCCTCGGGCACGGCGTTGCAGACAGCCAAGCGTTTGGGCGCTGGCAGCCGCATGCGACACATCGAAGTGGCAGCACTGTTTGTTCAAGAGCTTGTGCACCAAAAAGACCTGAAGGTAGGCAAAGTGCCTGGACACGCAAACCCTGCAAATTGTTTAACCAAGCATTTGGATTCAACATTGAAGGAACAGTGTCTTCACGAATTGAGCATGGTTGACATGAGCACATCAGATTTGCGACAGGTTTTGCAAGACGCCGCGCAAGTTGAGTTGGTAGCCAGCCTCATCGCAAGGCAAAGTGCGCCGAACAAGTTGACCCCTTGGAAGCCTAACTTTGCAGTTGCAGTAAATGCTTTGCAACTTTGCGCCGCGCACATGTGTTACACCCACATCACTGAGGCCTAGGCCGTTTGAGGGATTGGGTCGCGCTCAGGCTTCGGCTTTCGAGCAAGCTCAGGCTTACACGCTTTGGAGCAACGCACGTTCTGACTTCGAAACTTTGGTTTAAGAACGCTGCACGGTGTCACCAAAGTCCAGCCTCATCTCAATTCGGTGGGGTGTTTCAAGTCAAAGCTCCAGCCGTTAAGGGGCGTGCGAGCGTACGAACGCGTACGAACAGTAAATGCTGTAGCATGCATAATTATAGTCGTCTTGTTGTCATGAAAACCATGACCGTGAATCCGCAGCCTTTCTGCGATTTATCTACGGTAAGTAGCTTAATTACCCAACACTCCGAGGGCTTGAGCTAAAGGCTACCCCTACGCTGTATAGAAACCACTGCGCAACCGCAGCCCTTTTGAGGCTTCAAGCGAAAAGAAAAAGGAGTGTCCTACCCTGAGCCCAGTAGGACCCCCGAAACAGCCTCTGAGCTTTCGCATGGTAGCGGAGCTCTGCTGAGCCCAGGGCCAGCATCTCCGAGCGGGCAGCCCCGCAGGTCTGGAGGACCTGCCTTTGCTGTCTGCGGGTAGCACCGCCCTGCAGGTGCAAGCAACGGTCACCGGGGACCAGAAACCCGGCGAAAGCAGCACTAGGCTTTGAAGCTTAGTGCGGGTAGACCCGCCTAGAGGTCTAACTTTCGGCACCTGGGCCGACAAACCAGGACCACAGGCCGAGCCAACCGAGCCGGTCTTCACCTCTGGATTTGCCCAGCTTTGTGCGGGTAGATCCGCCCTAGTCTCGTAACCACGTCCGACAGGGACTGGCACGACTGGGGTTGGAATCGGGACCAGTCTGGTTCCTGGTGGGACAACCACCAAGCCGAAGCTGACCAGCACTGGGACTGGCAGCAAGAGGTCTGGCAGCAAGAAAGCTGGACCGAAAACACAGGCCAAGCCGAGGACCCCTGGGCCGGCTGGTCAGGTGTGCATTCGTGGGTGGAGGCACACCCGGTGCCTGAACCCAGTGCACCTCCGCGTAGTCGCAGTCCGCGGCATCGCAGTGAACCTGCAGCTTCCAGTGCGGGCAGACCCGCCAAACCAAGGGGAAAGCCCTGGTGGGAACGTCCCCCGCCCGAGTGGGTGTGGGACGAGAGCAACCAACGCTGGAAGCGCAAGAACCAGCGGGGAAAACGCTCACCTGAAAAGGTTGAGGAACGTATCCAGCGCGGACAAGAGCGACGAGCAGCCAGCTCGTCAGCAAAAGTCGCGCGGGTAGAACCGCCTCAGGAGGCGGAGACCTCGACTGAGCCAGGTGAGCCAGTCGTTCTCACCCCAGCGCCGGCAGCAGCCGAGCCAGCGGGTAGCCCCGCGGAGGAACGCTCAGAAGCCTCTGAGTCCGAATCCTCCTCCAGCTCGTCAGTCAGCACCATCGACTACGAGACTGGAAGTCTGCCCGTGCAGACTGAAGCGGCAGCCAGTGCAGCCGCAGAAAGAATTCGGGCCATTAAGCTCGAAGGGGATCCGGGCGAACCGGAAGGACCCCACGCCCCATCTGCAGGGGTGAAGAGCGAGGATCCGAACGAGGAACCCCTCGCAAGTGCGGCAGCCAAAGCCGCATCTGAGCTCCGAGACTCCTGGATCTCAGTGAAAGAGGAGGTTGACTTTCGCCCCTCGGACACTCCAGGAGCGGGTAGCACCGCCGCAGCAGAAGCTGCGGAACACAGCCCGGAAGCGGGCAGCCCCGCCGCAGCCGAAGCTGCGGTACAAAGCTCCTGGGTGGAAGTCCAGGAAGCAGCAGACTCCCTAGCTGGGAGCACGATCCCAAGCCCACGCCTCTCCGAAGATGGCGATGGCTGGGACGACACAGCTCACTGCTGAGGAGGTGAGCAGGCAGCTCACGGGACTCACTGAAGCCCTCCGAAGGGCAGAGGAGGCCCACCGTGGGTTGCAAGAGCAGCTGGCTCAAAGCCAGCATCGCACCCAACTGTTGGAGCAACAGCTCCTGGAACTCCAACAGGCGGGTAGCACCGCCGCGGGTGGCACCGCAGCCAGCAGAGCAGCGGCGGCCGCAGCGGTAGGTAGCGTTTCACCCCAAGGACTGTTAGGTTTAGCAGCACCGCTGAAAGGGGTAGACTTACTTAAACAAGCCATTAAACCCCCCAAACCCTTAAAGGGAGTAGAAGATTGGGAAAGGTTTGTGTGGCAAGTTGAAACCTTTGCTGCACTCGTGGACGAAAGTTTTCCAGTGCACTTAGAGGAAGCCAGAAAGAGTCAAAGTGACAACACCCCGACCGAAGAGAGCGACGAATACCGAGCTCTCTCAGTCAAACTGTTCGGGATGCTGGTATCGCTCATCGCTGAATGCCCAGCTGCATTGAAGATTGCAAGGGGCACGAGAAACCAAAATGGATTCGTCCTGTGGCGAATGCTGTGGCGAGAGTTTCATCCCGAGCAGGCCAACAGAGGTCTCATTTGGAGACGAGCCCTGCTTTCGCCGAAGTTTCCAAACAAAGAGGGCGACTTTAGTGCAGCTCTTCAAGAATGGGAGCTGGATCTCGCGAAGTATGAATCCGAGTTTGGAGCCGAAAAGGCCATCTCAGATGAAGACAAGCGAGCGCTACTTATGGTCGAATCGCCCCAGGCCCTGAAGCAGCACTTGGCAATGCATGCTTCGTCGCTAGGATCGTACGATGAGGTTCGGGCTGTGGTAGTCTCATACCTGCAAGCAAAGAGGGTGTGGACACCGTCGGGTGGTTATGCTCAGACAAGCCGCCGAGCAGCTCACGATCCCGATGCCATGGATATTGGCAAAGTCGGCGATGCCAAAGGCGATAAAGGGAAAGGAAAAGAAAAGAAGGGCAAAGGAAAAGACAAAGACCCCAAAGGGGGGAACAAACCCGAGAAGGGTGGAAAGGGCCAAGACAAAAGAAACCAGCAACACAACCAGCAGAAAGAAAAGGAGAAGTGCCCCATATGCTGGCGAACTGGGCACACAGTGAAAGACTGCTGGTACAATGTGAAAGGAAAAGGCAAAGGAACGCCAAAGGGCGGAGTAAACGCTGTTGCTGACGACGCTTCGTCACAGCTCTCAGCGGGTCCCTCCGCTTCCCAGGCGGGCAGCGCCGCGACTACGGCAAAACCTGGTGTGAGACACATCTCGGATGAGCCTATGCGAGTGCTAGCTGTGCGGAACAACGACCCCCGCCAAGGACACCTCCTGGTGGATACTGGTGCCGCTGTTTCCGTTTGCCGCCCGGGAACCTTTTCCAGCAAACTTGACCCGAAAGGACAAATGGCTCTGTACAGTGTGGACGACACGCCGCTCAACACCCTAGGCGCCACGGAACCTGTGCTGCGACTAGGCGGGGACCACCGCCAGAATGCACGAACCACGTTTCAAGTGGTTGAAGGTGTCACAGATGACATTCTGTCTGTGAACCGAGCGGTGGATGCTGGAGCGCGGGTTGTGTTCCACGCGTCAGGCTCGCACATTGAGTGGGCTGACGGCTCACGAGCCGATTTCGTCCGAAGTGGGAAGCAATTCCTGCTACCTTACGCTGAAATGGCCAAACCCAGCAAGCACGTGACCATAGCGGCCGTTGAGGATTTTCCCGACGACCTGGAAGCTCAAGCGGTCGAGGAATTCGCTATCGCTGAAGAACAGCGGGAGGCAGAAGCCGCGCGGGCCGAGGCAGCAGCTGCCGAAGCCAATGAGGGTGAGGGCGAAGAACGCCAGGACCTTGAAGCGGTAGCCCCGCCAGCGGATCCCGAGCCGAACGAGGAAAGCGTGCCACGCGAGCCCACGGCCGAAGAGAAAGAGCGCCATAGACTCACTCACCTGCCATTCCAGAGCTGGTGTCCGGAATGCGTGCAGGGGGCCGGGCGAGGCGGGCACCACCGCCGAAAGAAAGACGCGGGAGAAGGCGCATTGGAAGCGACGGTCCAAATGGACTACACCTTCTACTCGCGAGGGGCGCAGCAAAGGCTCGCGCCGGAGAACGAGTCTGTTCTCGTCACGGTGCTGACGCTGGTTGACCGCGACACCGGCTGGCCGTGCAGCGTACAGGTGCCTAGAAAAGGTCAGGAGTGCGGACCGTTTGTGTTGGACGCAATAGAGCTCTACCTGAACAATTTGGGACACAAAAGAGTGATCCTGCAAATTGACCAAGAAGGAGCATTGAGAAACGTTGCTGTGGCTGTAAGAAACCGGATGGGGGCACACAAGGTTCGAGTGCGGGAGTCACCGCCGTACTCGCACCAGAGCCAGGGCGCCGTTGAAGGCGAACACCACCAACTCGCAGGTTTGGTGCGCACATGGCTCATGGACCTCCAGAATCGGTACCCCAACTGCATGGTTGACGTCAATCATGTGGTGTTTCCCTGGCTAGTCAAGTACGTCGCTTGGTCTGCGGCGAGGTTTCAAGTGAGAACCGCCGACAAAATGACCGTGTACAAGATAGTCAATGGGGTAGAATACTTGAGCCCCATATGCAAATTTGGGGAAACAGTCATGGCAAAACTTCCGAAACCAGGCACCAAGGCGCAACGCCGTTGGATACGTGGGATATGGGTTGGTCGTCTGGAGCGCGACAACACCAACATTATACTCACGGAGGCTGGGGCATTGAGTGTGCGGTCTGTCCGCCGTTTACCACCAGACGCGCAAGCTAACAGAACCCTGATGGGGACCGTAGCTGGCGTGCCATGGGCACTGCGACAAGGAAGGACGTTGCGGCAAGCACCCGCCCTGCAGGCGGAACCTTTGGTGCTGCCAGCGCCGCCACTCATGCAAGCCGAAACCGAAGGCGACCACGTGGAGCAAGAGGGCGCAGCGCAAATCCCCTCAATGGCCCACGATGGACCCGAAGAAAGAATGGACAAAGACGCGTTGGACGTTGAAGGCGCCGCAGCCGCGGAAAGCCTCGAACCACGCGAAGACATGGACGTTTTCGATGGCGATACCGGCGCGGGAGTTCTCGTCTCACCCGAAGAAACCGCTGAGGCCGAAGCTATTCGAAATGCAGCGCCATCGAGTCCCACAACGTCGGATGGCCCATCCGCAGAAAGCGCGGGAGCCGCCGCCGGATCACCTAGAGCACCAGCAGGGATGGCTTATCCCACGGGGCTGGGCGAAGGGGGGCTGGCGACCAAGCGTTCAGGCACAGCGCCACCTGCGGAAGAGACCAGGCCGCCAAAGCAACCCAAGGCCGAAGCCAAGAAGTCCCAACGTGTAGGCAAACTACAGGTGCAAGATCTGTGGAAAAAGGTGGAGGAATGGGCCAATGCGGACGACCCCGCTGTAGCGCAGCAGAGGCTCGCCACGGTGATGGAATACCTCGATTCCGTGCCCGACCCACAGCAGATCCAGAAAGCACGCGAAGAGCAACTTTGGAAGCTCTGGCGGCTGAACGCCTTCACACCGGTGATGCGATGGGACAAGCCGGCAGACGCCCAGACCTTTCACTACAAGTGGGTGGACAAGGTGAAAGACGGCGTGTGCAAAAGCAGGTTTACCTGCGCCGACGCACGACGATCCTATACCCCAGAAATGGAGCAGGACATGCGTGTCTTTGTTCCTACCCCTACTCCTGAAGCACACGCACTGCTCGAAATAACGGCTCTGCAAAGAGGCTGCACCATGAGAACCTTCGACATCGTTGCTGCTTTCCTGATCGGCAAGGACCGAGGGGCGCAGAACGAAAACTGGGTCTACATGCGACCGCCAGCCGAGTGGAAGCCCATTTTCGACCAGTGGGTGCGGGAGCAACCGCCGTCTGAGCAGTCCAAGCTCAGAGGACAATTTGCTGACATGCTGTTCAGGCTCGATGGAAATTTGTATGGTCGAAGAACAGCTGGCTCCGTCTATCGAGACGAGCTGGAAGAGCTGTTATGCCACAAATTGTCACAGACCGGCCGGTATGCTTTCAAAAGAGGGGTAAAAGATCCATGCATCTACAGATGCATGAAGACAGGTATCATAGTGGTCCATCACATCGATGACGGAAGATGTGCGGGGAACGCCGCCCTGCTGAACACCTTCCTGGACGAGGATATGTGCAGCCACTGTGAAATCACCACCGGTCCTCTTGAGGCCGAAGGTGTATCGGTAGAAGTTTTGGGAAAAACCAAAACACGCTTAGAGGGCTGCATCCTAACAGCCCCGGACGCAAAGCATGCTCGAAACATCATCGAAGCACTCGGTCTGAAGCCCGGAGAGAAATCTCCAGTGCCTTCTCGCAAACCCGATCTCTCGGACGTGACGCCGTTGAGTGCGGGGGATGCCGCCAAATACCGATCCGCTGTGGGGTCCGGAATTTACCTTTCGGCCGACAGACGTGACATTCAGTATGCGGTGAAAGAGTTGGCGAGGCATATGGCCGAACCCAGACAGTGCGACATGCAACAAGCACGACTGCTGGGAAAATACCTGCAACAAGCGCCCGACCTTGTTCGAGTCACTGCACTCGACCCAAGCGCGTACGAAGGGCCCATGACGCTCGACGTCTTCAGTGACAGCGACTGGGGAGGATGTGTTGAAACCCGGCGATCCACAGATTGTCATGTGGTGGTTCTGGGAGGAGCAATTGTCGCCACATCCACGCAGACCCAGCCGGGATTGCCTGCCACCAGCAGCCCTGACGCTGAGTTAAGAGGCATCAGCCGGGCCTGTCGCGAGGCCATCTTCGTTCACGAACTGGCGACCATGGATTTTGGGCTGGAGGTGGAAATCCCACGCCTGTGGTCAGACAGCTCCACTGGCATCACAGCCGCAAAACGCATAGGGCCAGGAACCAAGCTACGCCATCTGGACGTGAGCGAATTCTACGTCCAAGGGGCAGTGCAGGCCGGGAAAGCGCTGTTGCGAAAAGTCAAAGGAACTGAGAATCCGGCGAATTTTCTCACCAAGCACCCAAAGTCCGGAAACGAAGTGCTACAAGCTTTACCTTCGTTGGGCATGGTGGACCCCAAACATGTTGCGGGCGCCACCGCCCAGGAGAAACACACGGTGAAGTTTGTGCGGGTGAATCCGCCTACGAGCTGGAAACCCGTATTTCCGTTCAAGCCTACGCTCGCAATCGCGGGTATCACTATGGCTTCACAGATCTTAGGAGTGAAGGCCCAGCCAAGGGAGAAAGAACTCCTAGAGCTGGTGCTGGATGCCACTTTGTGGCTGGGACTCCTGGGATGGTTTGTTTTGCTCTACCACATGGTGAAGGGCACTGTGAGGGGAACTCTGGCTATATACAGGAGGGTGAACCGACACCGGCAACATGAAGAAGAGCCGGAACCGGAAGCGTCGGAGGACGAAGCTCCAACGCAGGCCGCGGAAAACGCGCCACCTCCACTCGAGGACTTGTTCCGAGAGGGAGTGCGGGCACCTCCGCCTCGGGACCTGCGACCCCCAGCTCCTGAGCCAGAACCTCCAGAGGTGGGCCAACAGGCAGCAGCTTCTGCCTTACCACCACAATCCGCACAGGGAGATCAGCAGCGACGAGCACGTCGAAGAACTAGACCACAGGTACCCCAGAGAGAACCAGGGGAGATCTACTATGCGCCTTACCGAAGGACAGCACATGTATTCCGCAACTGCTCTGGGCTAAGTTCAACCCAGCAGCAAGACATCGTGGTCGAACAGTTCTGTGCCTACTGCCTGGAAAACTTTCCCAGACACCTCAGGCTCGAGAACGAACCTCGGGTATGGGTGACAGGGACGAATCTAAGGGCACATATCTTTCAGAATTGCCCTGAACTCCAAGGATGGCAGAGAGCGATTCCGATGTGCAATCACTGCAGTTTGAGACACATCTCGCGAGATCCCTGAGCGGTAGTCCCGCCAAGCGGGCACCACCGCTGGTCAGGATGACCAGCAAATCCAAAACAATGCACAACCCTCTGAGGTTGGAGGGGGGTGCGATTTATCTACGGTAAGTAGCTTAATTACCCAACACTCCGAGGGCTTGAGCTAAAGGCTACCCCTACGCTGTATAGAAACCACTGCGCAACCGCAGCCCTTTTGAGGCTTCAAGCGAAGAGAAAAAGGAGTGTCCTACCCTGAGCCCAGTAGGACCCCCGAAACAGCCTCTGAGCTTTCGCACTTTCAGGTTCCTTGCCTAGCAGTGTAAAAAGTGCGCGATTGTATTTTGAGCCCAATACGATACCAACTGCGTAGCCCCACGCGCAAAAAGAAGGGCTTCTGGGTGGAGCTATCCGTCGCGCAGGCCGAGGAACAGCTGGGCGACTTCCTTTCTTGGCTATTCTTTGGGGTCGAGGAGCCGGACAAAGTGCGAGGTTGCCTGGCCCCACAGGGGGCAAACGGGCTACACGTCGTACACCTCCCCAACACAGTCTTCATGGCAGGCTTGGACGGCTATGTCACACTCGTGAAGTTTGTGGCGGAGTGTTTCTCCAAAGCAGGCCGCTTCCCTCCTTTGAGAGGTTTTGCAGAAGACTACGACTACGCTCACGGGTTTCGACAGTTCTCTTTGTCGTCCACAGATAGGCGCTTTCTTTGTGCAGCAGCCAGAGCTCCTGACTCCAGCGTCAGGATTTTCGTGCCACAGAAGCTACTTTTCGGACCACGGGGAGCTCCGCATGTGTTCTGTAGGGTCACAGACATGGTGTCGGCAGTGGCTTCGGTGCTTCTGTTGATACCAAACATCCCTCATGTAGATGACATGGTTGGTGTGGAAGAAATGGAGGCAGTGGACTCGGCTAGGGCGTCCTTCCTGGAACTGCACGTAGCACTAAATCTTTTACTCAAGCCTTCCAAGGCAAGACCAGAGAGAACTTCTCCAGGTGGGGCCAAGCAGCTAGTAGCCTTAGGTGGGCAACTGGACTTCGACATTCCGGCTGAGGAGCATGCAGCAGGACTTGTCTGCAGAATTGACCTGCCAGACGCCAAAGCACCCAAGTCCGCGAACCTCATTGTGCAGGTGTTGGAGCAAGGCAAATTATCTTCAACGCTGGCTGGCAAAATGGTGGGCCAGTGGGACCACGCGTCAGCGGTGTGCTTAGGCCGATCTGGCCGTGCCTTTGCTTGGCCGCTACGTGAACTCATAGCTGCAGACTCGCAAGGACGCCAGCCTCCGCCGTGGCCTGTCCTCAAAGCTGCTCTACTGGGCTTCTTGGTTTTCCTGCAAGGCCGAGGTCCCATGGAAGTGAGAGCAAGCCAGACTGTTGCTCGCAGAGCGGCTCTGCTGTTCGTAGATGCGGCCCTCGGCCCAGATGGCTGCAGGCTTGGTGGAATGGCTTGGGGCCCCGGCTGGTGCTTCTTCTTTCACTTGAAGGTTGGCAAACACAGCTGCCGCTTGATCCCATGGAAGGCAGGCCACATCATTAATGAAGCTGAGGCGCTTGCGGCACTCATTTGGATACAAACCTTGACAGACCACTTGCAAGGGCTTGACATTTTCCTTTTCGTAGACAGTAAGGCTGGTGAGGGCATTTTGCTCAAAGGGTACTCTCGTTCAGCGCAGCTCACGGTGATCGCCTCCTTGTTCTGGAAAACAGTGCGCCAAGGAAGGGCGTCAGTGTGGATAGGCAGAGTTCCAAGCAGCCTCAACGTGGCTGACCCTATTAGCAGGGGCTGCTTTGACATAGCTCGGGCTCTGCAAGCAGACCAGCTCACTGCTCTGCTCCCGGATGTCTCTGCTTGGGAGACACTGTTGGAGTTTTTGGAGGGCAAGCGCACGGCCAAGCGTTTGTTGTGTGGATGCTCCGAAGTTGAACCGCTCTGACAAGCCTAGACGCTTGCACCAAGGCCAAGCTTAGAGTGACTGTAAAGAAGTGCTTTCACGACTGAGCTTCCATTCTTTTCTTTTGGCTTGAGGTCTTTGTGTGTGTGTGTGTGTGTGTGTGTGTGTGTGTGTGTGTGTGTGTGTGTGTGTGTGTGTGTGTGTGTGTGTGTGTGTGTGTGTGTGTGTGTGTGTGTGTGTGTGTGTGTGTGTGTGTGTGTGTGTGTGTGTGTGTTGTGTGTGTGTGTGTGTGTGTGTGTGTGTGTGTGTGTGTGTGTGTGTGTGTGTGTGTGTGTGTGTGTGTGTGTGTGTGTGTGTGTGTGTGTGTGTGTGTGTGTGTGTGTGTGTGTGTGTGTGTGTGTGTGTGTGTGTGTGTGTGTGTGTGTGTGTGTGTGTGTGTGTGTGTGTGTGTGTGTGTGTGTGTGTGTGTGTGTGTGTGTGTGTGTGTGTGTGTGTGTGGTGTGTGGTGTGTGTGTGTGTGTGTGTGTGTGTGTGTGTGTGTGTGTGTGTGTGTGTGTGTGTGTGTGTGTGTGTGTGTGTGTGTGTGTGTGTGTGTGTGTGTGTGTGTGTGTGTGTGTGTGTGTGTGTGTGTGTGTGTGTGTGTGTGTGTGTGTGTGTGTGTGTGTGTGTGTGTGTGTGTTTGTTTTTTTTTTTGGGGGGGGGTGGGGTTTCTCTCTTTCTCCGTTTCCTCTCCTCTCTTTTTTTTTGCTGTTCCTGTGAAGGGGGAAGCAGCGCAGAAGCATGTACGCAGCATTGCCGTAGGAAGGTCATGTCATGTCTGATGGAGCGCTGTGCCTCTGACGACACATGATTCACGGTCTCTGAGCGCACATGCCAAACAGCTTGCGCCGAAGGCAACAGTTTCTGCTCAGGGATGTTTCGTCCTCCTCCTGGATACCCTTCATGGAGACATAATCGTCGCCCGGGTCGGGACCAGCCGCGCGGCGTCCCTCCTCAACTCTCTGCGCCCCCGTCGGGCAGTTCTGCTCCCTTGGGGCCCGCCTCAAAGCGGCGCAAGCTGGATGAGACACGTGGCTACACTGAGCTCCATGCGGCAGTAGGTAGACCAGTCCCTTCGGGACGTAGCCCTGCAGGGCCTACGCCCACGCAGGAAATCAATTTGCTAGCGCGGCTCTTGCAAGCAGGGGCTCCTGTCCACCAACTCCTGGATGACGTCGCTTTGTCCAGAGCACGGGCAGCTTTGGCTAAGGCTTCCTGCTCTTCTTACGCTTCGAATGTCAGAATGATTTCTTGGGCTTGCAGCCTCTTGGGCGAGACGCCGCTTCCAGCATCCTTAGATTTGATTCTGAGGGGGTCTGGTCAATAACCCCAATACTTTGCGAGTGTGGCTAGCTGCGTGGCGAGACTGGCACATACAAGAGCGAGAATTTTGGCCGGGGGACCAAAATCCTTTCTTGCGCAGGGTTCGGAAAGGTACAGAGCGGCTGGCTCCGAGACCGGCTCCCAGAGGCCGGCTTCGCTTTCCTCTTTGGCGAAAAGTCTTACAGCTGGCGGCAAAGAAAAATCTCATCGCTTTCGGGACCTTGTGCAATCTCGCTTACATCTTCGCTGCAAGGGTTCCATCCGAGCTCCTGAGTCAGTGCAGATGGTGCAACTTGGTAGTTGACAAGCGTTCTTTGACGTACAAAGATGTGTTAAGGAAGGGGAAACCAGGCCTGTCAACTCTTCGAAGGTTTTGTGTGTGCTCCAAAGACGAGCTTCTTTGCTTTCATTTGTGGCTTACTGCGCTAAAGGAGCTAAAGAACGAACAGGATGGGTCCCGAAACTTATTGTTTTCATTTTCTGCCCAGAGTGTCTCAAACACCTTGCAGTCGTTGTTGCTGGAATGTGGCTTTTCGGCAGATGAAGCGGCGCGTTTTACAACTCATTGCTTTCGTAGAGAAGCTGGAGTGGACGTCCTGGAAGCAGAAGGCACTACATGTTCTCTCCTGGCAGGAGATAGCTGGAGACGGATAGGCATGTATGGCTTGCCGGGCATGCTTCGCATGGGCGAGTGGTCTTCCAAGGCGAGCACAACTCACTACGCTTCTGTAGACGAGCAGGCTTGTGCAGTTTGGAGGCCTCCGACGATGAGCGTTGATTCGTGAATCACTCAAACCACCCAATCTCGGTGCCAAGGGTACCAAGGGAATTTTATCCTGGCACCTTTGCTTGGGCTGACCCTTTGAGAAAAGGCCTTGAACAGTACTTCTCATGCAACATGTCACTCCTCATCGCGAGCTAATGCAGCGTTGCAGAATTGCAGACGCAAGTTAGCATGCATTGGAGTGCTGCAGGGATTTCCACAGCAGGATCAAATCTCCAGGCTGTGTCTAAACTTCCCTCCCAGGCCCACCCTGGGAATTTTATCCTGGCACCTTTGCTTGGGCTGACCCTTTGAGAAAAGGCCTTGAACAGTACTTCTCATGCAACATGTCACTCCTCATCGCGAGCTAACGCACGTATCCGGAGCTGCGGGCTGGCGGGCCAGGGCGTTGTTGGTTAGTCGTCGTCTTGGGCATGGAAGTCGGAGGACGATTCAGCCCCAACGTACTCGCCAAAATCCGCCGCCTGGCGAGGGCACGCGGACGAGCGCGAGCGCCGTGGAATGCTGCAGCGGCATGCCCGCTCACCCGGCGGTGGCAATGCCTCGCGCACGCGCAAGCGCTGCTAGAGCTGCCGGTGCAGCCGTGTGACGAGGGGGGGGAGTTGCTCGCTGAGCGCGCATGGCAGCCTGACTGAGAGCCCCGGCGTTTTGAAATGAATCCGTAAGCCCGACTTCAAGGACTGAGCCACAGAGCGTGCTAAGGCCCTTAGACCTGACACGCCGAGAGGCCAAAGGCACATTGGCGATGGGCACGAGAAACTTGGGCGAGATCCTACTTTTGAGGGTGGCGATGGTTGGACACTTCCGCTGCGCCCACTGAGGGCAGCAAGTCCTGTATCCAGCAAACTGAGGGTTCCGCTATCAAACGTTGGAGTAGCAAGAGCAAAAAAAGTAGCAAGAACATCGAGCGATATGTTCAGGAAGCCGAGTTGGGGACATTTGCGGTCGCTGACACAGTGGCGTCCGCGGCAGCCTCGGCTTCTGCGCGCAGGCCCAGGCGGACATTCGGGCGGCCGTTCCGTCTCCCACAGCGCTCGCATGTCCACCGCCAAGGCCACCGTACCCTTCCAAAAGCGCGGCTTGTGCGGCTGCCGGCACGTTACCGTCTGAGTCGGCACTTAGGACCAGCGCCGCGGCCAAAGGGGGGCGCGGCCGGCAAGGACATGAGGGCAGCAATGAGTGCTGTGTCGCGGCCGGAGACCGGTCCGCCGGCTTCCGATGCATCGAGGTCGGCTATGGCGTGCACTAGTCGTGCCAAGGCGCGCGGCTCGGCCGGCGGCGTGTGTTTGCAAAAGTGTGGGCGCTCGAGCGTTTGTTTGCGTGAGCTTGCCATTTTGTGCGACTTTTGCGAAGTTCACGTGTCATGAAGTGCAAAAGACGCCGCAGCGTCGGGTTTCACGGGAGGGAGGCACCACCTCCTGCAACCGAAGGGTGGCAAGAATGCCCTTGCGAACGCATTTCCACGACAGGCTGGCACGCAAGCAGGAGCCTGGCTCACCGCCATACCAGCGCACCGGTCTGCTGGCCCGCAGGGCGAGAATCCTTGAACGGGCATCAGCCTCCTTGCGGGTCGCCGGGCGGCGCAAACGCGTCGCGTAGCCAGAGTTGACAGCTGCGGCCCGCAACAGCTCCTTGTCCTGGGATCCGAAGTTGGGGGACGGTGCAATGCTGGAGCGCAGCTGCTCCGGGACCTCGTGCGCGTCCGCGCCCAGCACTCCACCAGCGGTGTGCGCTGCAGCCTCCCGTACCTCACCCATATCTTCGACCTCGCTGAAGCCGCGGGGCCGAGCCGGCCGCGCAGCGTGTAGCCCCCGGCCGTGCGGACTAGGACCTGCAGACGCATGCCTCCGGACGCCCGAATCTGCGGGCGGAAAAAGGGGAAAACATAAGCTCCCCCCGCCTTGAACCAGCATGGTTGGCATGTGTTTTGGGAACTGAGCATTACTGCACTCACATTAACTGAAGATCAACATTCGCAACAATCGCAATATCAGCCCGTTTTAGCAACTCACCAATCTTGCTCATGTTCGTCATCGCTCTTGATGAATGGCTTGTTGTAGGTTGTGTCTTGTGACATAGCAATAGTGCGGATTGAGGCTGCGAAGGGTTCAGAACTTGCCCATTGTACAAGTCATGGTTTAATATGTGAACAGCTCCTAGAAATGGAGTCGGCGGATCTATGGCATCGAGATCGCAGGCATTTTTGCATGCCCCGCCGTTAGTTCAACATCGCTTACTTGCTTACTTGCGCGAGGCAAAGCTGAAGAATTGGTGGTTGTGGGCTTTGCCTGAAGCATAGCTGCACCATCGCGTGCCTTCGTTTTGAGCGAACTGTAAAGTGTTGTTGGTTGTCAAGGTCCTGCAGCACCGTGCTCCGAGCAGAACATGCATTGCAGGAATTATGTAGGTTGCATGCACATGGCATTTGTGCTTGCACCCAGACGCCAGTCAGGACACACTGACGCTGCCGTTGCAAGAGTGCTCTTGTGCATTTTGCGCATGTCAGCAACACTAAGGGAATTAAGTCCATGACAATTCTAATGAAAGCTCCAGTGGCCAAAGCACAGCACTGTCACAGCAATCCAACGAAAAAACATCCAATACGCAAGTGTCCAGGTATATCTCCTTGTACGAGCGTCCCACGCAGAGTGGCCACGGCCATCTTCCGCGCACCATGCATGATTATGTTCGCTTTCTTGTTGATGTGCATATGTGATGCAACCTTTGATGCCTTTTGCCGCTTGTAAACGACGCTTGCATGTCCAGTAGCCGCGAAGTTGCCGTGTAGAAGAGCATTCCTGAACCCTAAGGGGGGGCAGTCTTCGGGCAGTCAGGTTCACTTGACGTGATGCATGTGCAAGCATCAGCAGGTTGCATGTCAGCGAGTACTATGGTTCCGTTTCCATGGGTAGCCCGCCGCAGGAGGGATGACATAGCATCGTAAGCATCATCAGTGTGCTATCTGTACCGTGTTTGCTGCATGTAAGTGCAGGACTTTGACGTGGTGTTCGACACCGGTTCTGGAAACATAGCGTTTTGCCCAGTCACACTGACGAGTGACGCGCCATTTGTGTTCAGCTTGGCTGTTGCATGCTGTTCTTGCAAGCAAGGTTCTGCCAACTTTGAAATGTGTAGACGAGGCCATCCTGTGAAGGAGTCAGCCGGTGCTTTCGAGCGCCGCTTTGTTCCTTTCGGCAGGCATGTGAAGACCACCATCGCTTTTCAAGCGGCGCATCTCGCAGCGCCCCTGAAACCTTCGCAGCTCTCAACGTCTGCATGTGCATTGTGCATGTATTGCATGTGCTGGTTGGCACGGACATGCGACAAACATGGACGCTGCGTTCTCTGGGCCATAGTTCCGAAGTTCCCTCGACAAGAGTGAGGTAAGTTAAACAAATGCACCTCTTTCATTGTCTAGCCATTCTCAACCGTGCCGTTTTTGCATGCGTGGCTGCACGTTATCCATGCGGCGCGGGTTGGTACCTGGTAAAGTAGTGGTACATAGCAGCTTGTTCCGTGCGCGCCATGCACCTTGCTCGACAAGATGCTTTGGCACCCTATTCCGGAGGAAGGTCCCGACCCAGAACCCGGGGCTACGTGACCGTCCGCGAACCTGCCAAAGGCTTTTTCATTGCAGGTTCCAACATCGATGACATGAATGGAATTTATGCAGCCATACGGCCCGACAACATCAAAATCCGACGCAAGGTGCAAGTGGCATATCGTAATGACAGCAGTGGCTGGACCATGGCACTTGTGAAGGCACCGCCGCAGACGGCAAACCAGAGACGCCGCCGACACTTGGACAAATCTCGCCTCCCTGCTGGGGTCCTTCCGGATTCGTCTGATGAGTCAGACGATATGGGCAATGACAGGTTCGAGTGGGTGTTCATAGATCCGTTGAGTCGTGAACGATTTGCCCACAAAGGTGACACCATCATTCCAGGAGCAGGGCTCCGATGGTGGCACCTCCATCGAGAAGCCAGCAGCTACAGCAGCTACAGCATCTCCAAAAAGGATCATTTGCCTCAACTCTACTGGCACGAATGCTTGGAAGATAACGATGATTTCGAGACGGCTGATGAACAGGAGGAATCAATGAAGTGTCGCCCATCTCCGAAAACACACGTCAGCAGCCAGGCCGCCTCAACGGAATGCAGGGCGATTGTGGAACCGGTGAAGGATGATGAGGATGAGCTCCCTTGGCAAGTGATCGCAATACTTGACACCAGTGTCATCCGCGACCTGCGCTACAGCTACCGTCGCTACGAAAGGACCGTGGCTGCAGCCAGGGCAGGCACGAATCTCCCGAAGCCAGGTCCCCACACGCTAGAGTACTGCTGCCAACAGTCACGGTGCTGGGTCTACAAGGTCCTTGCCCCAGGAGGCCAGTCGAATCATAAAAAACAAAGTCTTTTTGTAGTTTGCCGCATAGATGAAGCTAGGTAAGTACGTGGGTTGCACTCGGGTTGCCCAAAAAACTGGTGCATGGCAGAGTTGCAGGTGTCATCGTGCGCACGCAGCCCAAGGCTTCGGCCAGATCATGTGGGCAACGAGACTGTGGTCAGTATGTGTGCGGTACGGAAGTCGAAGGTTTGTGGCTCCACCTTGCACCGTCGCGTCGCTTGACAGACAATGCGGACACTGACTCGGAAGAGCAGGTTGATCAATGGGTTTGCTTGAAGGATAAGGGCGGAAAAGTTCTTCTGGAGGCAGTTCACGCCTCTAATGTGGGCAGCTTGGCCAGCTCCAGAGCTCCTGTGGAGAACGATCCGCAGGCAGAAAAATTTGACCGACCTTTCGAACCTCGTTTGCAGGCACCCGGCCACCAAGCCCCAAGCGCGGTGAGCGAGGAGGGTGATGAATGTGAGACGCTGGATATGAAGACGTTTGAGGAAAAGGACGAGCATTGCTCAGAAAGTGTTGAAGAGCCTGTCGAGCTGTTTGTTGGCTGCGCCTGCGTCTTGCAGGCCCTCGCAGAATCCAGCAAGAATGGCCAGGCTTGCGTCGTCTGTAAGTTACCTCGGGACGATGGCCGCTGCGTGGTACAAATGTCTGGGACCCAAAGCAAGTTGTCTGTGAAACCAGCAAATTTGCGTCCTTTGAAGCGACCAAATGAATCAGAGCAGAGCTATTGCGCCAGAACCCTCGGATTGACTCTGAACACTTTGGGGCTCGGCGGGGGCTCAGATGTCGCAGCCTGTCTGCAGAGCGTGGGTCCTGCGGAGATCTTAGCGGCGGCCTTGCGAGCTGCTCAAAGAGACTTGTCGGATGCGCCAGACGTCCTCATTGAGTCCCAAGAAGCCTACGACAAGTTGAAGTCGAACCTCGCCTCCGGTGACGGCCATGACGGCCTCACTCCGTCACAGCCCTTTCCTCCCCATACACTTGTCGAGAACGGGTTGCTTGGCACAAGGGCCGCGCACGCAGCGGCAAATGCTGCAAGTCAGCAGTCGATCAAGACATTGGAGGCAGGGATCGCGGCTTTGCGGCAGGTGCTAAGTGATGAGCATCGTCGCTTGGCACGGGAAGCAGGACTTGCATGGCCTCTACCCGCAGCTGGCAAATTCCCCTCTGAAGGGTCGGATGCTTTGCGCTTGCGACTTACTTTGGTCAGGGCATTGCTTAGAAGTCGCCAGGAAGAGCAAGCTGCCCAGGAGGCTGAGGCGTGCGTCCGTCGTCATCCACATGGTGCAGCTGGCCTGCTTTGGGCAGGACGATGTTTGCTTCGCATCGGCCGGCGTGAGCAGGGAAAGAAGTACCTGTCGATGGCGGAGCATGCAGGGCGATCCTCTGGGGCAGATGGTGCTTGGGGGGTCCAGGGTGCAACCATGCGGCTGCAGGCGCTTGCAAAGGTCGAGCGTTGCAAGCTGGCAGCAGAAGATGCATACGCTTATGGAGACTTTCAGACGGCTGCGGCGCGGTACGGGGAAGCTCTAGTGCATAGCCCTACTGATGACAAGTGGGGCCGAGCCATGCTGCATGCAGCCAGGGCTGCTTGCCATCGTCGTGCACGAGATTTTCGCCAGGCAGTCGATGACTGCGACGCAGCGCTGGCACTCTTCCCCAACTATGCTCGGGCACTTTTTCGACGTGCGGCCTGCTTGATCGAGGCAGGTCGGCCATCCGAGGCCATCAAGTCTCTGGAAGGCCTCCTCAAAATTGATAGGTCCTGGCCCAACTTAAGCGATTGGTTGGTTCGAGCACATGCTCTTGCCAAGCGCCTGGAGAGCAGCACTTTCAAGGCATCCTGGAAGAAAAGTCGACGCTCTACGGAGGACGCAGGCGCACCCGAGGTGGGCTCCTTAGGTTCCGATCTTTATGCTGTGCTAGGCGTGTCTGCTGATGCCACAGACCAGCAACTGAAGCGTGCCTACCGCCTCATGAGCTTGAAGTACCATCCGGACAAGCAGGGCGGTTCCACTCGTGATTTCCAAAGGATTGCCACGGCTTACGAGACCTTGTCAGATCCAGCTAAGCGCCATGCCTACAATGAGGGGGCAGATTTGAAGAAGAAGGATGATGATGACAGCGACGAGTCCGAACGTGACGAGAAATCCCTGCGTGAGGAGGTTGAGCGGACTCTCGGAAGCAGCAATGCTTCTTGCCGCAGCATGTTGCAGCTGGAGGTTTGAGTTTGAGTTTGAGTTTGTGTTCTAGTTCTACGTGCATGCTTGCTTAGAGGACCGCTAGGATAGAATTGGGTACCGCGCTAGCAAAAACTGATCCAACCAAATGCATGTGCAATTCTGTGCGTGCCATCAGGAAGTACTTTCCGGAGCGGTTCAAGCGAGGGGCTCAGAAGGGTTTGCAGAGCAAAGCGCTGAACATTTGTTCTTCAGAACATCTGTCAGAAAACAGCCCCAAGTGCTTTCTTGCTTTTATCCCTTTGAAATGTTGTAGAGGTATTGGCCCTTTGGCGACCCCTTCATCGAGAAGCGCAAGTTGCTCGCTCAGCGGAGGCAGGCAGAGCAGAAGCTCCTCGGATGCTGCAGAATTTTTTTTAATGGAAAAATGGCAGATCACATGGCAGTAAGTGTGTGTAAAAGTGCTTGCACGTCTTCTTTGCCTATTGGAATTCATCTGCCCAATCCAAGGTCCAGACCAACACCAGACCGAGACGATGATGCATAGCGGCATAGCCTGCGTAGCGGCTTGGTGTTCCCTGCATGTCCGTGGTGCCAGCATATGCCAGCACGTTCCGCATGTTTCAGCCTTAGGACAGGCCTCTGGTTCTGTTTCGTCTCTACCTCTCTCTTTCTCTCCTTCTCGTAGCACTCGTGGTGTGGATGCAGTTGCTCGCAGCTCATTTGCTCAGTTCTTCCTGCATGGTGGCTGATGTTTTGATGTACTTGTGTTTGTTTTAGTGCTTGCGAAGCAAGTGCGTCCCGCGAAGCAGTTGGCCAGACAACTTGTGGCGAGTCGGACACGGAACAACGCAATTTCCGGGACCACTCGACCACGTCAGCAAAGACAGCAAGAAACAGAGATTTGTTGTTTTCGTACGCAGAATTACGCAGATGATCGCAGATGTCTCTCAAAGCGGAGCTTCGACCTTGCGAGGCACATCCGTCCAATTGGCACTGGAAGATGGCACGCCCCTGCGTCGTGGGAACGCCTGAAACTTGGAACCGTCCATGGCTCTTGGCACATTCGTCGCATTCGCAACTGGCCTTTAGGCCTGGCAGCGTGTTGAGTCAGGAACGAGATACCACAACGATAACATATGGCCGCTGGCTCAAGGGTGCTGTTGAGATCCGAGACAGGCAAGCCGCCAAGCTGCTGATTGTAGGCACCGGAAAGTTGACTGGCGAGTACATCCGCGACATGCTTTGCCTGCGCAAAGGCATGAATGTTGAGTTTGGCGTGATGCTGACAGCACGGCTTCCAATTTTTCGGGCGCCTTTAAGAATGTCACAATGTCAGGCAAGGGAATGGTTGTCGCTCAGAACTCCGTTTGTGCCGACCTTGGTAAGATGTCCCTCGGCACCCTCGGTATTTTTGTTTTTGAATCGAGGCCTAAAAGTAGACTTCCTGGGTGTGACACAGGACTGGTTGCATCTTGAGGAGAAAAGCATGAGGCTGGTGCAAAGATCGTTTTGCCAGAGCCGGTGCGAGGAGTCTCGGTTTCCATTCACAGAGCTTCCGTTCGATGGAATCTTTGGCCTGGGATTGGGTGGACTATCCGTGCCACACCCATTCTTCTCGCCAGAGTTGATACATTTGTGCAGAAACTGCTTTGGTCCAGGCCGGACCTTCCTTTAACTTTGTCAACAGCTTGGTGGCGCGCTGCAGCAGAGCCAGCGCTGATCCGCACCTTGTTTGGGCCCTTTCAGCCTGCAGGCTGCCAATCAGACGGTCTGGAATCCGACATTCGCCTTCTTCCTCCGGGACCTTGACGCAGGCAGCCCAAGACTCCTAAGACAGGTGAATTTTGAAGGGCACTGCTTCATGCCTGCAAGTAATTGTCCCTCTTGACTGGCGCAACAAGGCCGAGGAAGACAGCGAGATCACATTCGGAGGGTACTGCTGGCATAGGTTGCGTAGGCTTGCGTTGCCTTGGCCCCATTCAATGAGGAGTGAAGTGGCATGCGTGGCTTCACAGGTATCGCCAGGACCGTCTACAAGGAGAGGTTACATGGCTTCCGGCCTTTGCCTCAGCTTCAAGTTCTGTGGTGTGTCAGTCAGTGATGGGTTGGCGTTGTGCACCGACATCTTGGACGATGCTTGGGCAAAGGTTCCAAAGCAGGAGGCAGATGAAAAGGGCTACTGGCTCGTCCAGAGCCTACTCAGCCTGCTCGTGCTTTCCTGCCCTTGCCAATTTGATGGTTCTATGTGATACCAGTACCCCATCCCTTGACAGCGGAGGTGACAATGCGAGACATTTATGAGCGCGTCCCAGCAAAGTGCATTTGCTTGATTCTTGTTGCAAGCACCTGGCATTCATCACGGTCGCAGTATCCAGGGTTCGATGTCTGGCTATTCCGTCGGTCAACCAGGTCCCGGCACAATAGTTTTTCAAAATTGCGGCAAAGATGCCCCTGCAACTTATCTGCTGAGGCCAATTCAGTAGGTTAAAGGGCTTTGGTTAAAGGGCTTTGTCTTGTTTAGTTAGTTGAGCCCTGCTCTGAGTTTCCGGGACCTTCCCTATTGAACTAGCCGGCAGGAATGACGCATAAACTCGAGAGGATCGCTTTAGAACTTGTGAGATACATACATACACACACACACACACACACACACATATATATATATATATATGTACACACATATCCAAAGGGGCTGTCGCCCCCAGCCGGGCACGCCCCGGGCGGAGCAGCCACAACAACAACCACAACAACCACAACAACAACAACAACAACAACAACAGCAGCAGCAGCAGCAGCAGCAGCAGCAACAACAACAACAACAACAACAACAACAACAACATTTCATTTCATTTCATTTCATTTCATTTCATTTCATTTCATTTCATTTCGGACGCATGTGCGGGTCATGTCCCACACCTTGGCGGGCATCGAGGGTGAAAATTGAGTGACCTATTCGTTCGGACCTGATCAATCCGATGTCCTACCTTCTACCAGCAATTTGGGTCGCGCTTCTGTACACGTCTCTGCGAGATTGGTCTTCAACCTCAGCAGGCAGGCTGGCAGGCAGGCCTAGTCTGAAGGCATCGGCCATGCAGGCTGGCACTTGTCCATAAAGAGGCATTGAGGCTTTTCTTCTGCAGTGCGAGCAATTGTCTGGAGACTGGATCGAGTCCTTTGTTAGGACTATTCGGGCGCTTAGGGATAATGGTTCAGCTTGCTGGAGGCGACCTCACTCGCATACTGGAACCAGGCTGATGGTACGAAATGGGGAAGCCAGAATGGCTGCTTCTCGAGCCCGAAGAAGGGACTGGACCTGTTTGCGATGAAAGGAAGCAAGCATCTTGTAGACAATTGCATACGGCTTGTACTCTTCATAGACATCGTCGTACAATGGGTTGATGATTTGGTAGAAGCGAAGAGCCATGCTGTTCTGGAAGTCTTGAGAGTGATCCTCCGGGTTGGGAGGTCTAGCGCTGGCTTGGAATGCAGAATTGACCTGCTTAAGCAAGGCTTCCTCAAAGAGCTCCAGGAGTTCGCCTCTCGAGATCACTGCTTCCGTGATTATGGATCGAACCCAGGCAATTTCGTCTGCATGGATGTCTCGAAGTAGCCACTTCCGATACGTGACTAGATCCTCTCGGATTTGGTCCTGGTAGTTCGGAAGATGAGGCAACAGAGCTAGGAGATGTTGATCGTAGGGCAGAGCATTGAGGTGATGATCTTGATGTTGAAAGCGCCATCCGTTCTTCACTGACGATGCCCCTTCTGAGGTTGAGGAAGACAATTTGAGAAGCTGCTGTACCCGGTATACTGTGGAGGCTCTCTTGAGCGCCTGCAAGTCGAAGTAGTAAAGGTCCAGTTGCTTGTCATCGTGTAGATGGAGATTGGAGGGGAAGTAGTCCAAGCCTTGTCCCGGAGCGTGCGATGGCTGTGACTGCTCAATGCCCGAGAGGAGGCGTGGCGTTGACGATCGCATCAGAAGGTGAAGATGTGACAAGGTGTGTAGATTTGCCCTGCATTTCGCCATTACTTTGAGTGCACATATTACCTGCATTGATTGGCTCAAGTTCGCGATAAAAAGGAGCGATACTTAACGGTGTTTCTGTTTGTTCGTGTGCTGACCTGATAACTTTAGGTTATCAGCCGTAGAGTCTCACGATGGCACTGCCAATCGCAAATGCCCCCGCAGATGAGAATGCGGAAGAGGGCACTGCAGCAACGTTCAATCTGCAGGTGAACAATCTGTACAGAACCCAACAACAGATGATCATCATCCAGCAGAACGAAGATGCAGAGCGATTGCGCGTTGAGGCAGAGCGAAGGCATGCAGAGATCCTGGAGATGGCCAGATCGCAGGCAAGAGTCGAAATGACCGAGTTGGAACAGCACGCAGATGCACAACACCGAGCCCGACTGAACGTCATCGGAGATCGCATGGGCTTCGTGTTCCAAGAGCTACAGCAACAACTCCTTGAGACCCAGGCAGCATTACGAGACAGAAGTTTGGAGCTCGACCAAGCTACACGAGATGCACAAACACTCAGAATGCAGAACCTTCAGCTCGAGTCGCAAGGCGGCATGATTCTCGAATCGGAAGCACGCCTGCGCGCACACTTCGAACAAAACGAGCACTCTCTTGCAAACCTTAGGATTACCTACGAGAGGAACAGAGAGATGCAGCTCGAGTTCTTAGGTGACGAGTTTAGGGAACACATGCAGTATGAGGAAAACATGTTCACCTATGCCATGTATGAAGAAGAGCAAGCGTGTGATGCCTTGATTCAGGATCTAGCCGAGAGTAATCAAAGGTTGCAGACTGAGCTCATCGAGGAAAGGACAGCTTCAGCCGGTGCTAGCCATCAACAAGCGACGACCTCGACCTCAGCTATGCCACCAGGCCTTGGAGTTCCTGAGTCAAGCCTCCCGCAAGGGGGTGCCGCCGCTGCTTCTCGTTCGCATGTGCATGATGCTAAGCTGCCAGATCCTTTTAAGATTCCGGACAGCCTAAAGGGCATTTTCGAGAAGAAACCCCAGAAGTTCAACTTAGGGAACGCTACCCCGGCTTCTCAATCCCCGAGTGATATGCAAGAGGCTTTGGCACAGGCTTTGAAGACCATAGCTAGTAAGGACGATTCTAAGCCCAAGACGAAGGAGGCTGAAACGATCAAGATGCCAGATTTTCCTTCGGCAGAGACCTATAGGTCCTGGAAGACTGCGGTTCGGGAGGCAATCCGTGCTGCGTCAGATCACCCAGACGAAGCCTTTGCATGGGTACAGGCGGTGTATGAGAAAGGGGCATCCGCTGAAACCCTCAGGGATGCTGGAAAGTTTCTTACTCTCGACACCAAAATCCTCGCTGCGTTGTCCAGAGTCGCGAAGGGAGAGCTTGCACGCCAGATTCTGAACTACAAGGAGACAGAGGCGGCCCATGGTAGAGCAGTCCGTGGTCGCCAAGTCCTGCTTATGTTTGAATTATTTTCAAAACAAACGAAGAAGTAGGATCCTTGTACTCAGTAGAGGACCTGTTGAAGGTTACGTTGATCAATGACGATTTAGGAACCTTTGTGCACAACTGGGAGTCCGTCATCGCAGGTATTTCTCACATGCCAGATGAAACTACGCTGCGAGACATTCTCTTGAGGGAACTTCGGAAGTCGCATCGCCTAAAGTATGATCTTGACACGTACGACCGAGCGAAGGATGGCACGGACCAGCATAGCTACCGCTTCCTCATGGACAGCATCCGCAACCTCCTCACTCGAGAACGCATCAGGAAGAATCGTGACAAGATTGCTAAGGCCCACGGTGCGAAATATGGTGCACCAGCACCTCCTGTTCCCGCTGACCCAGCGGTTCCAGATCGACCTTCCAGGCCTCCTTCTCGAGGACGCCCAGGCAGACAACCATGCATCCTCTTTCAGAAGGGAAAGTGCAAGTTTGGCGAGAAATGCAAGTTTGAGCATGTGAAGTCGACTAAGAGTGCTTCTCCGTCAAGGGCAAGGTCGCCCTCCAAGGACAACAAGGACACCTCGAAGATCCCGTGTGCCTTCTATCCCAAAGGGACTTGTAGGAACGGGAAGAATTGCAAGTTCTTGCACAAGGACAGGCCGTCTTCACCATCAGTTCCGGCGAAGGCCAAGGCACGAGCACCATCGCCCAAGAGAAGACCCAGCCCGAAGAAGAAGGGAGGGGCCAAGGCCGCTGCGTGTTGTGTCTACGCCCTCGCCGCCCGCAAGGGCGTGCCGGATCAGACTGTTGTAGACGGATGGGAGTTGGACGAGAAGGCACGGACGCTCACGAGGGTTCATGCCAGATTGCGTAACGACTACTTTGTTCCGAAGAAGTGTCCTGTCCCCATGTGGAGATTGAAGGCTTTAGCCACTCTCGACATGACTTTGAAGTCCGGTGAGGCCAGGGTTCTTGAGTACGACTGGAAAACATGTGACCCTCAAGAACCGCTCCCCAACTACACCGGAAGAACTGTTTTTCAACTCAAGCCAGAAATGATGAAAGTGTGCTTTGAGAAGCGTGTTGAGATCGAAGAGGTTGCAGTTGAAGGGGAAGGCTGGAGATACGTCCCACATCGACGAAAGGTCGAACGCGTTTATGAGGATAGCTCCATGTGCCCCGAATCAGACCCTCAAGATCACCAATGTGCTCACCTCATTGCACTGAACCTTGAAGCCTCGGTTAAGTCCGAGCTTAATGGTAACAAGCCGAGATGCAAGCATAGGTGCAAAAGGCCAGACTTCGCATGCGAGCACTGTGCCCCAGATCTCGGAGTCTTGAAAGTTGCTACACCAGCGCGTAAGGATGATCGCAGTCTTGACATCATCGCAGACACTGGCAGTGAGGAGGATTTGATAAGCATCTCCGACTTGAAGGAGTACTTCGAGGACGATGGCGTCAAGGTCGAGTCGTCCCCGGTCAACCTCTACACCGCCAACGGCACGGTCGAGGCCTCGTCAAGAACTCAGGTCAACATCCCCGCACTGGGCAGCAAGCTCGAATTCGTGGAACTCCCCGATACCCCGCCTGTGTGCTCAGTCGGGAAGAAGTGTATGGAGCAAGGGTATGGATTTTACTGGCCCCCGGGGCAGCTCCCATACTTCGTCAAGCCGGACGGCAACAAGCTCCAATGTGACCTACGAGGCAATGTTCCCGTCTTCAGCAGTTCTGGGAAGAATTCCGGATCACCAGCAATTGTCGCAGCAAACAACGAAACCGGGAAGATGGCTCCAACCTGCTCTGTGAAGCAGGGCTTTCAGTGAAGAGCTGCCCGCAAGGGCATGCCGCCGC